AATCTAATGCCTCAGATTGCTGCTCAGCTTCCTTACCACTCAAAGATTTCCGACCAGATGAAGTTGAGCCTGCACCCAGGACCGAAGTATAAAAATCTCTAGCTTTATCAACTGTGTTCAATCTGTAGCGTGTCCCAGCATGGCTCAAAACAATACCCATCGGAATTTCCCATCTAAATGGCATCGATCTAGCTTTAAGCTCATTGGTTAAAAAAGCAAAGTCTTTTCTACTTCTTAAAATTTTGGATGGGATTTCCTTTAGAATGATGACATCTTGGGCGGCAATCTGAAATCTTTTGTTGTAAAAGGCTTGTATAATCTCATTCCGCAGGGACTTCTTTGTAAAGTAAATCACCACATCTCTAGGCAAATTCTTCTGCTTAGCAATCCAGGAGTTGAGTCTATAAATTTTTTCCACTTCTCTCTGTAATTCTCCTTTATCCATATCCAAGGCCAGCGCCAGATCAGTAAGGACCACCTCCACCAAATCTTGATTGATATCTTCCTTGAGGCCTCTAATCCTCAGGGCATACTCCATCTGTCTATACTGAAACATCAAAATATCTTCTTGTGAGGAGTCCACCTTCCTTTCCACGTCTTGAATTTTGTCATCCAAAGAGTCAACTTTGTCTTCCACTTCCTCAAGCCTTGCGTCGAGCTTAACCACCACAGTAGCCAAACCTGAAACAGCTGCCAATATATCTTGTCGTAGTTCATTATTATTTTCTTGCAATTTAGACTTTATCCCCGTTATCTCTTCTTTGAGATCAGATTTAATTTCTGATTTAATCTGTGAAACAAATTGATTCATTTCCTCTCTCATTTGAACTACAATCTCTCCCATTATGCCTCTAACCTCTTGTACTGAAAGTCCAGGTAGAGGAGGGGAGGGTGGTGGCTGAGCCGGTGGTACATGTTTAGATTGTTGTTGTAGCTGTGCAGTGGAAGTTATAGGAGAAGAAATAACCTTAGGTGCTGAGGAAGGCTGCTGCCTCTTTGAAGCCATTTTAAAAAGCACAATTGTCACTTCCCTTTCCCCTCCAGCCAAAAAGGGAGGAGGAAAGAAAAAAAAAATTTTTAAAAAGAGACAAACTATAGTCATTAAAAGTCCAGAGTAAATCCAAAGAATAAGTAGTAAAAGAGCAAACAGTTCAAAAGAAAAAATTCTAAACCAAAAGCAAAAGCAGAAGCAAAAAACAGTCCTTAGAAAGGGAAAGTAAAACAAAAGAGAAAGGAAAAAAAACTCCGACAGTTTCAAAACGCCATCTTAAATCCTTTCACTAGTATAACAAAAAAAAGGAGGAAAAATAGTAAAAATCAAAAGATAAAAAAATAAACACCTAAAATATAACAAAAAATCCTTTAAACTGCTCCGTCCGTTTAAAAATTACTCACCAAAATGCTGTAAACACGGAGATAGAAGCGGCGGTTTCTTTTGCTTCCTAGGAAGCAAAAACAGCTGGGAGGCGGAGATCAGCAAGAGCTCCGAGGGAACACTCCTTTCACCCCCTCTAGAAATAAATCCAGAGGGGGTTCAGGGGTTCTACCTCTACTCTTGCGTTCTCTGTCCCTTCCCTTTGCCCGGGAAGGGATTTCCGAGCCGCGGGCCAGCTGATGCGCGCTGCGCTCCGCGGCTCTGACACTTCCCCAGCTGGACGGCTAAAAGCTAGCCGCCATCGCCGTCGCCTCCCACCGGAAGCTCTCTGCTCATATTTAAATGATTGTCCACTAGGACTCCGAGATCCCTCTCACAGTTACTACTATTGAGCAAGGTACCCCCTATACTCTACCTGTACATTTGGTTTTTCTTGCCTAAATGTAGAACCTTACTTTTTTCACCATTGAATTTGAAAGGCAATTGTAAGGATGTCTGTGCTAGCAGAAACCAGGACTTATTGTCTTATTTTTTGAGCTCTTTATATTAAACTTCGAAAAATATTTGTAGTAAACTGTGTATGTAGAGCGATTGGGCAACATATACATATCCCCATGTCTCCCAAATCTATTTACTCTTTTGCATATCCAGGCAAATGCTTATTCAGCTTTCAGTCTCCTGGTACATTAGCATTTTATTTTAAAGTTTTTCCTGCTTATTTTCTGTAAGAGAACAGCATTTTCCCATTGTGGCCATTTATTTAGAATTCAGTCATTTTCATCTCCCCCGAACATGCACAGTTTCTAGCCTTTTGTGTTCTCCCAACTGCCCAACTATTTTCATGCTAGTTTTTCTTGATGGTGCTTCTATACTTATCCATCTGACCAGATACATTTTCGACACCAAGGGTATTTCATAGTGTTCTGAAAGATGCTCTTCTGACTATTGATAATACTAATAGCTGTTTAATCCTATGCAGAGTTGTACATGGGTGAACTTATTGATTTCCGTGGATTTAGACATCTTAACAGAGGGATTCGGTTCGCTTTCTGAAGTATAGGTTGATTTAATTACGATGTTCTTCATATGAAATAGCTGCAGCTAATTCTATTGCGGAACATAGCTCAAAATTGCATATTGTACTGTGTGATTTGGCTGTCAATCTCTTCCATTGATACTTCACAGAAAGTATGTCATCTATGCATGTTTCCAGCACTGAGACCATTAGTTTTATCAAGGAAAAAAAAATCAATGTAAAAGTTGGGGGAATGTGGCTGTCCGAGATTTCTAGCTGTTAGTACTTTCTATTTTAAAGCCTGAATTCTTTAGGGCTCAAACGGACCTTAATAAAAGATCATTTTATTCATCTTTTTGTGTACTGGTTCCTCCATCGTTCTTGCCAGAGTGCTACCCTAAGGGGTGAAAAAAAATCCTGATTCCTTTGCATTTATAAATAATGGCTGGATTTTGCCGATAGAGATTGAGGCATTGCAATGCTTTGTACAAAATTAGTGTCCTGAATTCGAGGCCTGATGCCTGGCCTCCACAGAACTTCAAAAGAACAAAAGTTTCAAATACTACATATATAAAAATGGAAGGCAATGATTATTTTTTAATTAAATTAAATATAATGGAAATAAGATCATGCTCAGTTTTGTCATGATGCACCACAGTATTTTTTTTTTAATTCAGCTCGCTTTTTGAAAATCAAATACTATTCTCAGACCAGAAAAAGGAGTTCATGAATCTAGATTACATTTGTAGCAGCAAGCCAACAATAAAAGATTCATTAAATTGACTTCTGCAATTTTTACCTGAATAAAACTGGTCCTGTTTGTGCTGTAAGTCTTAGTTATATACATTTCAATTTATATACCCAGGTTCCAATGCCCAACATGCTAAGTATTATGAATTCCATATTTTTATTAAAACATTTACTATCTCTGATTCTTGAGTATTTCTACAGGAGACAAGAGCTGTTCAAAGATTTCGTTTCCTCGCTAAGAATCTTTTGATTATCCTGAATCAGTGGTCAAGAAAGTGTGGTTTTTGGAATTCTTTCCAATTGCCTTACTAGCAGTGGTCCTAAGAGACATCTGTACTCATATGCAGTAATCTTATCCGCGTGTGTTTATAAGTATATTGGTGTGTGTTGTGTAAGCACTTATATGTTGCTTCTGCATGTGTGAGAAAGTGTAATCAAATGGGTGAATATGTTACCGTATATGTCTGTTTCCGCTCTCATCTCATGTTTGTGTGTGTATCCCGGGAAAGATGGACAACCAGCACATGTTCTTCTTTGGGTTACGTGATCAATGAAGAGAAAGGGGAGATTTAGAATGGAGCAGTTGGCAGCATTCTGAGTGGTGGTCCAAGAGCTTTCCCATTGGCTCATTTTTAAATTCAGTGTTTGTTTTGCTTGCTTCTCCTAGCAAATTTGATCTTTTCTTGGGGAGAGCTATACTGCTGATAGACAGGGGCCCAAACCCCTTTAGATACTTGCCCATGGGTTGGAGAGAATAAATGATGCTAATTTTATTATACCTTGTGAGTACACCTTGTGACCAGGTAACATGGGCAGCTGATAATTTTGCAGACAAAACTTTGGGTTACTCCCTTTCATTCATGGCCTTATGTGAGACTAAGATGAGAGAGAGAGAGAGAGAGAGAGAGAGAGAGAGAGAGAGAGAGAGAAGAATACCTGGAAAATAAAAAGGCACCTTCCCTTCTCTCCTTTTGCTTTTTCTACGACTTAATGGCTATATTTTCTCTTGCTTCTTCATTACTGTGGTTACTTGGACTCGATTCATAATACTGAAAATTGACATTAAACAATCTACCTACAATGCAGCACAAAACACTATTGATACATTATCCATCACTGTTGCATTTCAAACAATAGCAGTAAGAATAGTAGTAATAGTTGTGTTTATTTATTTAATTTATATGCCACCCATCTCATCAGAGGCAACTCTAGACAGTTTATAACCAAGGTGAACAAAGATGGCAAGATGCAGAGCAAAATATACATGGGCAGAGATAGAGTCTTATCCCACTCCATTATCCACCTCCAGTGTAAAATGCCTCCATCAGGGCCTTAGGACAATTGGCAGAGCCAGGTCTTCACGCACTGGTCAAAAGGGTGGGTATGGATTGCACCTCAAGGGGCATGGTGTCCCATAGGGCAGGGGTCCCCAACCCCCAGTCCATGAACTGGTACCGGGCTGTGGCATGCCAGCAACCGGTCCGCACAAACAAGCAAAGCCCCATCCATGGGATGCAGGCAGCACATAAAAACACACACTCTCCGGTCACTGGAAAAACTTTTCTTCATGGAACCGGTCCCTGGTGCCCAAAAGGTTGGGGACCTCTATCATAGGGCATGCTGTAGCAGAAAAGGATCTTCTTCTGGACCCCACCAGCTGGAATTTCTTGACCAATGGGGTCCAGCACATAACCCTTCTCATGGCACAGGTGGGATGAGGCAATTCCATTGGGGTGAGACAGTTCCTCAGGTAATCTGGAGGGCTACCTTTCCATGTGTACAATGTGTATTATATTCTCCTTGCTAACACCATGATTAAGTACTGTGTGTATATTCCCATCTGTTTTTTTTTTCTTTTAGAGGTGTCCATGGTCATTTCAATGGTAAGCGTCCTTGGGCCTTGGGAGATGAGTGCATTGTTGAGCTTATGGCTGAGATTGTGGGTAAGAAAAGATTACTTTAAATGCTTTTTCTCCAACTTTATGCTTTTCTTTGTAGATGTTTCTGGCCTTTTTTTCTGCTCTGATTGCTTCTCACTAAGCATGTGAAGTTAACACTGCATTTTAAAATGGTGAAGTGCAAAGATTTAATGCAGACAACACTATATGAGCAAATGTATGTCCTTACACTAATTGGAGTCTGGGTTCGCCATGAATGACTTGTTCTAAAGGAAACTTGGCATCCCTACAAATGTACATGCATGTCACAGTGAATCAATTATCATTCCTTTTGTTTAGAAAGCAATGGTTGCCTGTTACATGATAATGTCTTTAATTGCTTCAAGAGAACCAAATTCTCACACGGAATTAATGTGGCAGAATATAATCTATAAAATGATTTGGAGATTGTTTACAGGCAAAGAAAGGATCTGGGCAGTTACCTGCAGAAGTCAGTATTTCTCTAGGACAGTGGTTCTCAACCTTTCTAATGCCGCGACCCCATAATACAGTTCCCCATGTTGTGGTGACCCCCAACCACTTATACATCACCAGGTGCCAGGGGTGTTGCCAAAGAAAAAGGGGGAAAAATGGTGGACAGCCTTGTTTTGCGACCCCCATGAAATAGTCGTTCGACCCAAATGGGGTCCCGACCCACAGGTTGAGAACCACTGCTCTAGGAGATGCACAATCAGTTCCTAAAACTAGTCACAAAAGCAATGGATATCCTTTCCAGGTGAAGGAATGGCACTAAACAGTTCAGGCATAAATTATTGTACTGTGAATGACATGAAAATGTATTATCCCTAGAAATGTACATTGTTATGAATGTGAATAATAATTATCCTGATTATAAAATCTATTGTTTTGCCAATTAAATTTTGTATGAGCATGCTAGTAGTCTTTCATATTTAAGTTTAAGGAAATGCTCTACTTTCAAGAGATGCTGGACTATTTCTAAAATCAGCCTTGCTCTATATTAGCCAAATATGTCTTTTTTTTTATTGAGCTAAGCATTGAAATTCCAAAACTCATTTTCCTTTTTGAGTTTACCTTGGAAAGCCCTGATTAAACGATGCATAAACTGAAGGGCACATGCTCCAAAATAAGAGCTGAATGTTTTTTCTATTCCTTTCCATAAGTATGCTTTTATACACATTATAAGATGGACATACCTGAACAAATAGAAAAAGAGTGTGGTTCCATTTTGTTTCAAGACTGCCGAGTTGAACCGTAAGCAGTACCATTACTGTTGGTTTGGGTATATATAATGTACATGTTTGCTGTAAAATAGTAACACAGAGAATTGTTCAAGAGTGTTGGGAAAAATGCTTATAACAAAAAAAAAAAAGCACCACATTCTTTTCTTTATTTTAGGAGGTTTTTTTTCTCTTGGTAGTTATTTGAAGTGACTGGCTGTCAGATATAGCAATAATTTAGAGGCTTAAAAAAAACAGAAGAAAAGAAAATATGTAATTCCAAATGCATCATGGAAACATCCTTGATTAATTTTGGTTGCCTATCACATTTCTTCAATCTGTATTTTAATATTTTATTTTTTAATATTTAATATTTTTGCATAATAGTCTTCCTAATAAGTCTTCTATTGTGTACTTACTATTTATCAATAGATTCATATATATTATAATTGCTGTAGAATTCATTCCTAAAGAGCAAAAAAAAAATATGTAATGGATGGATGCATTTATTTTGCGTATTCATATATTACTGTAATTTACACTGGACTTTTGGCTTGTTACACAGAACAGCACAAAAAAAAATATAGCCACAAAAATAAAATATTAAAACAAGAATAAATGAAAAATGAAAAAGGTACAGATATCAGGCACTTTTCAATCCTTGAATGTCCTCTGGAACAAAGTTGTTTAGTAATTTCTGCAAAACCATTGATCGGCTTGCCAATTAGACCCCCCAATAAGAGGGTCTTCCAAAGTATATGGGCTGCAACTGAAAAACTTTGCTTGTAAGTCCCTGTTCCATTGAACTCAGGTAATTAGGGAACTGCCAGAAAATGTTGGTAAATATTACATACTGGGTGAACCAGATTTGTCATTTTTAGATATAGAAGGCAGTCTTATAACTACCGAGGTACCAAGCCATATTAAAACTAGCATTTTTAATTGCACCCAAAAATTTATTAGCATCGATCCAAATAAGATAATAATACAGAACAGGTATTACATATTTTTGGCAGCCCTCGTTCTCTGTCACATGAACTATTAAATTTGGCAGCTTCTGATTTTTCTTGAAGGAAGGTCCTAGGTAGAGCGCACTGAAGCGATCCAAATATATAATGATCATCAGACAAGCAGTGTTGCTGGACCATCCTCTTCAAGTCCACCAGGGCCCTTGGCCCTTTACCTGCCTGTCTAGGAATAACTGAACTCTGCCTGCATATAGAATTCTACTCCATGCAGAATTATCACCAGAGCTGACAGATAATCCTGCACAAACAGTAACTTGGCTTTATTGTAATTCAGCTTCATCCTATTTTGTCTCAGAGACCTCAACCATCTTCAAGCACTGAGTCAGGACTTTCATAGCATCTCTGGCTCAGCCTGTGTAGAAATTTGAAACAGATGATATCTCACTTCTGAACCAATGAATAACCTCTCGGTAATTTTATATAGATGTGAAAAAGTCAAGGAGAAAGACATGAGCGCACAGCCAGCCTGATTTCTCTTCGCCTGTTGTTACTAGATGGAACTGCCCATTCAGGAAAAAGTGAAACCAATGAAGTCCAGTGTCCCAATCCCCATTGGTTGCAGGAAGTGCAAGAGGATACCATGATCAATGGAATCAAATATTAATGAGTGTCTGTTGGGATTAGGTGGGATGTATTCCTCCATTCAAGCCCCAGTGAAAATAACCAACCTGAACAGCCAGTAATATATATGTCCCATACTCATTCTAAGTCCTGACTGAAAGTGGTCTACATAATTCACTTTGGTGGCAATCTATAAATAGGGCTCTACTATCTTCTCAACATTTCTTAAAATAACAATGGCTGATCCAGCCAAGGCTTCTTGAGGACAGGCAGTACCACTGTCTCCTTGAAACTGGGTGCAATACTTCTTTTCTCATAGAAGTGTTGACCGTCTCCTAGCCCCAGTCCATCACATTTCTCCTAGGATTTCCAAGGAACCAGAAGAGTTATGGATCAAGATGACATAGTTTATTCTATAGTGTACCCTTTCCACTCCATTGGAGTCCGCAGCCTAAAAAGAAGACATTGTTTCAAGGATTTTATCAGATTTTATCATTGTAATATGATGAAACCAATTATACTGGTCCAGCAGAAGGCCTTCCTGCCCATCCTTCCATAATGGAGGATGGGAAATTTTAAAGTGTTTGGATGAGAGTCTGCCTGTGCATTAAGATCAGATAAGTACAAGCATCTTAATATACATGAGATATATTTTGATATGTAGGTATTCCTCGACTTACAACAATTTGTTTAGTGACCAGTCAAAGTTACAACAGCACTAAAAAAAGTCATTTATGCATTTTTCACACTTACGATCATTGCAGCCTCCTTAATGCCCACTTGATCAAAATTCAAATGCTTAGCAGCTGCTTCATATTTGTGACCATTGCAGTGTCCCGGGGGTGTGTGTGTCATGTGATCACCTTTTGCGACCTTCTAACAAAGTCAATGGAGAAGCCAGATTCACTTAACAACAATGTTACTAATTTAACAACTGCAATGGTTCACTTAACAACTATGGCAAGAAAGGTCATAAAATGGGCCAAAACCCACTTAAAAAATGTCTCACTTGGCAACATAAATGTTGGACTCAGTTGTGGTCCTAAGTTGAGGACTGCCTATATATGATACGATATAGGTCTGACCATGAGTTTGTACTCTGTGCTTAGTCAGATTTACTTTTTGTCTTTCTATACTCCCACTCCTGGCCGTGTTGCTACTACTACTTTGTCACCTGGAGAGATCCTAAGTTAAGCAAGGATCTACCTGGTCAGCAAAGAGATGTTTCCTTTGCTTGTTGGTTTCTGACCTATGAATCCTGCCTTAGCATTGGGCATTTAAGACAGGAGGAAAGATTCTGTGCACTTTGCAGACATGTTAGTTTTTATTTTGGAAGTTTGGCTTAAATTATATAACTTCATCCCAGAAGAGATCAGGCAGGTTTCTATCTTTATTTTTACCTTATTGTTATTTTGTCTTGGTTTGGCTGGACTTCATGTTTTATGTCATTTTGTTCCTCTGGATGTTTTAATATTCCTATAGCATATCATGAAAGCCACTGACAGTCACTTAGATTGGGATGGGCTAGAAATCGAATAAATGAGTAAAGCTCTAAGTAAGTGATGTGGTCACAGGAAGGCAGTCCTTACATCCAGTCCTACCTCCTCCTCCTCTTCCTCACTCAACTCATCATCCCCCCTCTTGCACAATAATTGATACCCATGAGAATCTCCAGTCATTGTAGTACTGACTCTTATCTCACATCTTATTTAACTTAGGTTGTCCTACTTTTATGGCTGCTGTATTATGCAAATTTGAGTGTCCCAACCTTTCTTGAGCTGCTGGTTTTACCTTAGAGAATCAGATCTGCTCCATATCTCTGGAGTTATATGCCTCACACAGTTCACTCCTGCAGAGCAACCCATCCTGGTCTCATTAAGGTCTTCAGAAAGGTTTTGTTGCCACTGTCCATTTTGCAAATAAGGACAAATGGGGGTCCACAAAAAGCAGTGCTGCCTAGGAGGAAATCAAAGCACGGAGAACATAGCAACAAACAAAGCAATTACTGGCTGTGAATGTAACAGGAGAAAATGTAATGTAAAATCTGCCAGACAGCCAATAAATCTGTTTTTTACACATTGCTTGTTCCTTTGGTCAGAAAAAAAAAAAGAAATCTGTTTTTTATCTGAGTTTTGCAATGAAATGTAATGTCACTTCTCAAGCAAAAGGAGTAAAAAAAAAAAAGTTTCCTCATGCAATACTAGATACAGCTTTCATA